CACTCATGCATGAGCATGCACACACACACAGATGGGCGCACACAGACACGCTTCACATACACGTGTGTGATGAGGTCAAGCTCTCCCTTCCAGGTGACACACCCGTGTGCACATCCGTGTTTGATCTGCCTGGTTTGTTCAGAGGAGGGAAGTTAGTGGCTAAATGAGAACTTCCTCCTGCGTTGACTAGCTGGAGGCCAGACAGGCTTAGAACCCCCTTCAGGAGGCGTGGGGGCTAGAGATCTGTGTGGGCAGCTGTGCGAAGGTCTCCCCGACCAACAGGTTTTTCACGTCGGACTTTCCGCTGACTTTTCAGTGTCATATCACGTCCCGAGCAGTGGACATTTGTAAGCAAAATGTGACCTGCGGATTTTCAAAAACATCAGCAATCTTCTCGGCCAGACCATTGTCAGATAAGTGCCAAACAGCCACCCAGGAAAGTGGTCTCTCCGGCTGTGACAATTTAAATGACATTGGCCTGCATTTCTGAAAGTTCTTACGGCCGGCCGGCCGGTGTCCTTGGGGTGGGGGTGAGGCTGACTTATCGGGCGTCTGTCCTGTGACAGGTCCTAGGCTGGTACTTGGGACACACAGTTTGTAACTTTCTCAGTGGCTTTGGCCAGTGACAGAGCAGTTGGGATCCAAGTGTGGTCACGGGATCCCAAACATCCAGACTGACCAATGAGGTAAAGGGAAATAGAGTGGTTGCTGTGGAAACAGGCTGCGAGTTCTTTGCTGGTGTTGTCTTGGCATTAGCAAGTCAGGAGGCATCAGATGTGTGGTCCGCCTACCCCTCAAGTCAACGCTGCAATTTAATTAAACACTTTGGAACTGCTTCTCCTGTTCCTCCAGTAACACTACTCAGAAGAGTGTGCTGGCTTCCCAAACTCAGCCTCCAGTGCCGGGAAATACTGGGGAATGAAAGGGCTCCTGTACCAGCCATGTGTGGCTGTGTGAGTTTCAGTTCCTCAGCCCCACCAGCCTCATTTCCTGTGCTTGCACCTCACCCGCAGCTCCACTCCAGGGAGAAGGTTCTACCGGGTCGGGCCAGACAGCTTTCACAGCATCCCATTTTATCCTCATGGCTGATGTAGAAGAGAGGTATAAAATCACCTGATTTGGAAATATCCCAAAAGTCCATCAGTGGGTGCATGGATGAATAGAACAGAATGTGGTCCATCCATACAATGGAGTATTATTCAGCCATGAAAGGAATGAAGTACCAGAATTCCCTGGTGGTGCAGTGGATAGGAATCTGCCTGCCAATGCAGGGGACATGAGTTCAATCCCTGGTCTAGGAAGATCCCACATGCTGCGGACTGAAATGCCATGTGCCACAACTACTGAGCTGGAGCTCTAGAACCTGTGAGCTGCAACTACTGAAGCCTGCAAGCCCGAGAATCAGCAAAATGCAACTGCTGAATTCCATGCACCTAGACTCTGCTCCACAACAGGCGAACCCACCGTGATGAGAAACCTGCACACCACAACAAAGAGTAGCCCCTGCTTGCTCTAACTGGAGAAAGTCCTTGCAAAGCAATGAAGACCCAGCGGAGCCAATAAATAAATAAAAGCTTCAAGCTATTAATAATAAAAAAAAAAAGAATGAAGTGCCGATCATGCTGCCACATGGATGAACTTTGCCAACATGCTGAGTTGAAAGAAGGCAGACACAAAAGACCGCATAGTGTAGGGTCCCTTCCGTCTGTAAAATGTCCAGAAAAGGCAAATCCAGGGACAGAAAGTAGCTGAGTGGTTGCTTAGGACTGGGGGGATGGGGGAAGGGTGAGGAGTGATGGCTGGTGGGTGGGGGTCTAGGGGAACAGGGGTGGGTGAGGAGTGACAACTGGTGAGTAGGGGGTTCTTTTGGGGGATGATGCAGATGTTCTGGAATTAGACTGTGGTGATGATGGCACCATATTGTGGATGTCCTAAGTGCCACTGGCTTGTATGCTTTAAAATAGTTAAAATGGTGGATTTTTTTGTGGTGTGATGTTTACCTCCTTAAAAAAAATGAGGATGACCATAAAATCACCCCATTTTTCAGATGAGGCCAACTGAGGCTCAAATGTTTGGGGATTAAGTCAGGTTCCTCAGGGAGTTAGAGATGGCACTCATGTGGTCTCCTGTTCCCAGACTTCTCCTTCCTCATTTCCCATAGCCAGTTGGTCACTTGTTCGGTTGCTAAGTCATAGCTGACTCTTTGAGACCCCATGGACTGCAGTACGCCAGGCTTCCCTGTCTTTCACCATCTCCCTGAGTTTGCTCAAACTCATGTCCATTGAGTCAGTGATGCCATCCAACCATCTCATGCTCTGTCACCCCCTTCTCCTCTTGCCCTCAGTTTTTCCCAGCATCAGGGTCTTTCCCAGTGAGTCAGCTCTTCGCATCGGGTGGCAAAGAATGGAGCCTCAGCTTCAGCATCTGTCCTTCTAGTGAATATTCAGAGTTGATTTCCATTAGGATTGACGGGTTTGATCACCTTGGCGTCCAAGGGACTCTCAAGAGTCTTCTCCAGCACTACAGTTTGAAAGTGTCAATTCTACAGCACTCAGCCTTCTTTACGGTCCAGCTCTCACATCCATACATGTGAGATGTATGTCGGTCACTAAGCCATGCTAATTTGGCCCGTGAAGTGACCCTGAGACCAGTCTTTCTTCTCTGTCTTCACCACTTTGTCCCCCACTGACCCCTGTGGTCAGGCTCCTGTGGCCGGGTGGGGGCGGTTCCCTCAAGGAGGAGGGCTGGGCAGACACACCCGAGACACACCTTGGCTCCAGGCTGGCTTGTCCTTGGTGCGCTACCTTGGGCATGTCACACGACCTCCTGGCTTCATCTCCCAAATGGTGGTTTGGATGTAGATGATGGTGACCATGATGCATCCCATGGCCCACCTCCCCACATCCTTATGAAGACCTGATGAATACTAACGCATAAAGTGAAGAGTGCTGTGTCAGCGTGAATGGCGATTGTGATCTGTTTCCTTTAAGAAATTCCTGGATGTAGAGTTTGAATCTGGAGTCCATGCCCTGTCCAGGGCTGTGTCTTAGCTCCCCCGGGGCAGATGGTTCCCTGCTAGACTGGCTGGCTTGTTGTCTAGGATGAACTTGGGTTTTCAGGTACTAACCAGCCCATGTGGACTGTCTCCATCACACTCAGAGGGCTGGTGGTCTTGGGTCTTTGTGTGGGATGCCACATGGAGGTACCTGGAATGATTCTAGGATCAAGACGCCTTGGTTTTTGTTTGTTTATTTATTTGTTTGCTACGCTGGGTCTTTTTTGCTGCTTGAGGGCTTTCTCTAGTTTCAGAGAGTGGGGGCTACTCTCTAGTTGCAGTGCTCGGGCTTCTCATTGCGGTGGCTTCTCTTGTTGGAGAGCAGGCTCTAGGCCATGAGGGCTTCAGTAATTGTGGCACATGGGCTCAGTAGTTGGAGCTCATGGGCTCCAGAGTGCAAGCTCAGTAGTTGTGGTGAAGAGGCTTACTTGCATCTTGGCATGTGGAATCTTCCCAGAGCAGGATCAAACCTGTGTCCCCTGCATTGACAGGTGGATTCTTAACCACTGGACCCCCAGGGAAGCCCAAGATGCCTGGTTTTAAGAAAGTAAAGTCGTGAAACCTCAAAGCGTGATCCTTTGACTAACAGCATCAGTATCATCTCAGAACTAGTTAGGACTGCAGACCCCAGGGTCCCGTCCTAGACCTGCCAAATTGGAATCTGCATTTAAGTGAGATGTCAGGTGATTCAGATACATACAGTGCTTGGGAAACACAGCTCCATGAGTCATTGGGTCCCTGAGAAATCCTAAAGCCAGCAAGAAAAAGCTGTTTGAGAGCATGAACTGAGTCAAGGGGCAGGTACAGGATGAATAACCCCAAACCAGCAGCACCAACTCGATGGACTTGAGTTTGAGCAAGCTTCGGGAGTTAGTGATGGACAGGGAAGCCTGGCGTGCAGCAGTCCATGGGGTTGCAAAGAGTTTCAGACACAAGTGAGCGACTGAACAGAGTGAGCAGCTACCAGTGTCCCGGCCATCACAGGGAGGGGCTGAATTGAGACTTCACTGATAACTGCAGTTGACATGTGAACTATTTAGGGATTAATCTGAGTAAGGATATGTGATGCCCTCAATGAAAAGTGCTGGATTTTGGTGCAAAACTCAAAGGGGTCCTGATTAAATGGGGACATAAAGTATGCCTAGAAATTTGTGCTCATCTGGCAGTGGCTGGGGATGGTTCCGTTCCCCAGGGGACATTGGGTAGTGGCTGGAGACATTGTTGGTTATCATCCTGGGGTGAGGGGTGTGATACTGGCATGGAGTAGGCGGAGGCCAGGGTTGCGGTTCAGTGTCCTCCAATGCATGAGACGACCCCACCAGGAAGAACCACCCAGCCTCAAATGACTGGAGTGCCGAGGTGGACACACACATGCGCACACGCTCATGTGCACACACACACACCATATAACAAGCATAACACACCTAGTGGGAAAATGCTCAGAATTCTTTATTGGTCTAATTGGCCACAATCTAAGAATGCCCAGGGGGCCCCAAGCTGAATCCCAGGCCAGAAGGAGGGCCATTGTCTTTGTTCCCTGCCCCCTGACCCCAGCTCAGTTCCTATCTCTCTACTGTGTGTCTTTCCTGTTCCAAATAGGGCCTCAAAGATTTGGGATAAAAACAGTTGACAACCTTTTGCTCCCTAAATCAGATTCAGAATTTGAGGTGTGACTGTTTGAGGGGAGGGCAGGGTGGCAGGCGTGGCAGTCAGAGAGGCCTGGGCTCCCTCTGCCTGTGCAGAGCGTCCCGGGGCCCTTGTGCGCCTCCGCCTCCCGTCTGTGAAGTGGGCCTCTCCGCCTGCAGCGCTGTTGTTGGGACCAAAGGAGGGAATGGTGGCTCCTTCTGTGTCGCTCTGGGCACCCTTGAGGTTCACAGCCCCGCCTGGGGGTGTGGATCTGGGTGTTCTAACTGAGCACCTTGCCCTCCTTTTGCTGTTGGTGCAGATGATGTCCGACTGTTTGCTTTTGTGCGCTTCACCACTGGGGATGCGATGAGCAAGAGGTCCAAGTTCGCCCTCATCACATGGATCGGCGAGAATGTCAGCGGGCTGCAGCGTGCTAAGACCGGCACCGACAAGACCCTGGTGAAGGAGGTGGTGCAGGTAACTGTCTTTGTGTTCTCTTAGGGTCTGGGGGGTGGGGGTCACATTCCGCAAAGGGTCACCGTCTGATAGGGACACAAGGGGCTGGCTTGGCTTCTTGATCCGTGACTTTGAATGTGTCATGTTAAGTCCCTGGACCACTAACGAGGCTGGTGAGAGATACCCCAAATTGCTTTTTGAGTATGGTAGCTGCATTTGTGGTCCCGACTAGAAACAAGGTGGCTGGTGTCTACCTTTATGGGTGGGGCAGGCAGCTCGTGGAGAAGGGGGCTAGAGGAATGACCAAAATGGCGCCACTTCCTGTGGGTGATGGAAGGCTTCCAGCCATGGCCGTGAAAAAGTGGCAATGGGAAAGTTCACGAGGGCCCGCTGAATGGTGTCTAGCACACAGTAGGAGCGCAGTGACACTTGATGAATGAATAAATGTCAATCACATGGGCACCAGCAGGAGTTTAAAGATGACTTTGATGACCCTAGAATGACAAAGGCTGCATCAGCAATGGCACAGATCCTTAGACTGGGCAGCTGGTGGTGGCTGATTTACTCCTGTGTCCCTATTAGACTGAGAGGAAGAGGGGAAAATGGTGTACCCTTGGTTTTGTCCCTGGACTTCTAAACAGCTCTACATGTAGAGCTTCCCATTTTGAAGTTTTTTATTTTTGCATTTTGAACATAATAAAAATTGACACTATTGAAAACTTCCAAAGCAGTTCATTTGAAGCTAGGGCATGGGGTCATGCTGAGGAAAATAAAAAATTCTAGGGCTTCCTTGGTGGTTCAGTGGTAAAGAATCTGCCTGCCAGTACAGGAGATATGAATTCGATCCCTAGTCCGGGAAGATCTCACCTGTTGTGCAGCAACTAAGCCTGTGCACCAAAACTATTGAGCCTGGGCTCTAGAGCCGGGGAGCCACAACCACTGAAGCCTGTGCGTGCTGGAGCCCACGCTCCTCAACAAGAGAAGCCACCACAATGAGAAGCCCTTGCACCACAACTAGAGAAAAGCCCATGCAGCAGTGAAGACCCAGCACTGTCTTAAGAAGCAAATCAGTAAAATTATATATATATAAAAAAAAATCCAAATTCCAGAACGATAAACTGGGGAAAGGAGGTGGAGGGGAGAGGGTTTCTACCTACCAAAGGGATCTCCATGTTGCAGAAGGATTTCCCAAAACCCATGATAGGACTTGGATGGCTAACTGGTACAGGGCTTCCTTGCTGCTGCTAAGTCGCTTCAGTCGTGTCCAACTTTGTGCAACCCCATAGATGGCAGCCCACCAGGCTCCCCCGTCCCTGGGATTCTCCAGGCAAGAACACTGGAGTGGGTTGCCATTTCCTTTTCCAGTGCATGAAAGTAAGAAGTGAAAGTGAAGTCGCTCAATTGTGTCCGCCTCTTAGCAACCCCATGGACTGCAGCCCACCAGGCTCCTCCGTCCATGGGATTTTCCAGGCAAGAGTTCTGGAGTGGGGTGCCATTGCCTTCTCCAACAGGGCTTCCTTAGAGGTGATGAAAATATTCTAAACTGTTCTAAAATCTGTGGTGTTGGTTGCTCATATCTGAGAATATACAAAAAGCCATTGCATCCTAAAAAACAAGAAACGCACACACACAAAAATCTGCTGAGTGCAGCGTGGTATCCTGGATTGGATCCTCGGATAGAAAAACTGGTGAAATCAGAATGAAGTCTGGGGTTTAGTTAGTAGTCCTGTTCCAGTGTTGGCTTCCCGGCTATGACAAACATACCATGGTAACTGAAGATGTTCATAGTTGTCAAAATGGCCGTGGGGTACGTGGGAACTCTTGGTGCTGTCTCTTGCAACTTTCCTCTAAATCCAAGACTATCCCCCAGTAAAACTTCTATTAAAAAATAATAACAGGAGAGAACTCCTATCATTCCATTATTACAGCCGATTTTTCCATCTCTCCTACCAGTCCTGTGGGTGAGCTCACTCCCCTCTGTGTTGCTACAGTCACAGCCTATGAGTCACACCTAATCAGCTTCTTTTTTCCTAACATAACGTAATTACATAAATTATGTGTCTGCAGAGTCTTTGTAATGAACATTTTTCTGGCTGCCAACTGTCCCGTCTTGCAAGTGTACTGTGATGGAATGAAAATCCCCCTGGTGTTGGCCTCTTGAGTTGCTTCCCATTTTTATTGTTATAAATTCATATGTTCCAACCAACATTTTAATACGTGCAGCTCCTTCCTGTCCTACACTGAATTGTTTCTTTAGAGAGCCTTTTCAGGAGGGGGAGCATTCCGGAGTTAACAGGGGTGAGAATCGCTTTAAAAAGAAATAGGCTAGGACTTCCCTGGTGGCCCAGTGGTTAAGACTCTTCACTTCCGATGCGGGGGGGGGGGGGGGGCGCGCAGGTTCAATTCCTGGCCAGAGAAGTAAGTTCCCACATGTGCTGGTGTGGCCAAAAATAAATAAAATGAAATTTTAAAATATTTGAGCCAAAAGTTAAAACATATATACATATTTATCTTGCACCTAAAAAAAAAAAAAGGTATAGGCTGTCAAATTACCTCCTAAATGGCTAGCACTATGCCTGGGATGTGGTAAATGTTCCATAAATGTCACTCACTTCCTAGCCTAATCAGCAGTACCAGCGAATACTGCAGCTGGCACCCTGTCCAGCAGTGGCACCCTTTCTTTGCACCCTGTCCAGCAGTGGCACCCTTTCTTTGGGCAGCCGCCTACTCAACCCCTCGGGCTGTTTTTCTCCTGGACAGTTGGAGGCTTTAATGGTTAACCAGCTTTCAAGGGTCTCCATTGTGGCAATAGAATGGAAAATGCAGAAGAGCGCATGTCCACGACCAGAGGTCCCCTGCTGGACCCCACCATCCACACTGAGCCCTCTCAGCCAGCCCGGCGTGGCCGTGAGAACAGCACACACTGGGAGAGGGTGTTTGCTGGGGCGTGTCCAGTGGGGGCGGTCTTTTGAATCTTGGAGAGCCCCTGTTTTTCCATTTTTAAGACTGTGGTAAAATGGAATAACATAAAATGTTAGCCCTTTTAGTGTGCGGTTCAGTGGCGTGACGTACATTTAGTGCTGGGCAGTCACCGCCATTGTCCAAAAATTCCAGAGCTTTTGAAATCACCCCCGAAGGAAACTCTGTCCCTGGTAGCAGACTGCAAAGTTCCTGTTACATCTAAAACTCTTCTCAGTTTGGTGAAGTGGGTAGAGGGTGGTTTGGGGAAATGATTCTTCAGTGGAAAGACTTCAGTTGGGCGTATTGGTTATAATTCATTTGTTTGTAAACTCTAACATATTGCAGCAAAAGGGGAATTGCTTGGCTCTCTGAACTAGGAAGTGCAGGGGTTGCCAGCTTCAGGTGTGGCTGGATCCAGAGTTGAAGCCGTAGCTTCTTTTCTTTTCTCTTTTCTCTTTCCTCTGTGTTTGGCCCCAAGTGGCCCCTGTGTAGCAGGAGAAATGGTCCAGGCCTGGTGGCTGTTCTGGATCTTGATCCCAAGGGAAGAGAGTCCTCCTCCCTTAGTGTCGATCATTCCCTTAAAATGATCCAGTTGGCCCAGCTTAGGTCACATGCACAGGGCCGGGAGGTGTGGGGCCTCATGACAGGCAGCTCCAAACTGATTCCAGTTGTTAAAAGAAAAGGATGCTGGTATATGAAAAGCATAGCAGATGCTTGCTTGATCTTGAACTGCAGGTGCAATGTGATATTTTGACCATTACCTTTTGCATTTCCCTCCTCTGCATTTAAAAAGGGTTATTACCTGAAGCTGTTACAAGACTTCACATTTATACTTCAGCTGTAAATACAGCCATTTATGTTACAAAGGGTTGATTTTACTGGTGTAATGGTATCTTCCAACAGTCATTAAAATCATGCTGATGCTGGCAGGGCAGTTTCCCCCACTGCTTAGCAGGGACTCGGAGCAGATGTTCTTTAACGGGTCTCCAGATGGTCATTCTGGATTCCTTGTCTTGGGACAGGATCACATCCCCAGCTGCCTTTTACCACCATTTTCATGTGAAGAATAAATGGATTGAGTTTTTATTTCAGATTATTCCTAACCTTTTTTTTTGTAATAATAAAAATACCCACATCCTTATGCTTTGTATGAAACATTCAGTTCAGTTTAATTCGGCCGCTCAGTCGTGTCCGACTCTTTGAGACCCCATGGACTGCAGCATGCCAGGCTTCCCTGTCTGTAGAGAATGTAAATGAATGTTGTTGTTCAGTTGATAGGTCGAGTCCGACTCTTTGCAACCCTGTGAACATAGCCCACCAGGCTCCTCTGTCCATGGAATTCTCCAGGCAAGAATACTGGAGTGGGTTGCCATTTCCTTCTCCAGAGAACCTTCCCGACACAGGGATTGAACCTGTATCTCCTGCATCGGCAGACGAATTCTTTACCACTGTACCACCAGGGAAGCCCATCAATGAATGCAGAGCCACTGAAATCAAGAAGCGTGGGTCTTTATGCCACCTGCCTGCCCATGGGCAAGTCTCTCTCCTTTCCTGGGCCTCAATTTCCTCATTTAAAAATAAGTTGGATTGGGACTTCCCTGGCGGTTGACCTTGCCTTCTAGTGCAGAAGGTATGAGTTCAGTCCTGGGTTGAGGAGCTAAGATCCCATGTGCCTCCTGGCCAAAACACCAAAACAGAAAGCAGAAACAATCTTGTAACAAATTCAATAAAGACTTTAAAAATAGTCCACAGCAAAGAAAAAATTTTTCTTAAAAAAAAAAAAAAATTGGATGAGTTGAACTGCTGTGTCATATTCTGTTTGTATCTATTCTGAAACGGTTTCATTTGTTTGGGGGGCACTTTGTTTATCACAGCGAATTACTTTTAAAGGAAGCTTTTACTTTGTCAGTAGAAGAGACAGCGTGCAGTGCCACGGTCTGGGGCTGTAGCCTTTGGAGCCAGATGGAGTGAGCTCAGGTTTCAATCCTGCCAGTCAGTGTGCAGCCCCAGGCAAGTTCCTCTCCTCTGGGCCTCCTGTCTGAAGCAGGGCTGGTATAGCA